TTGAATTAATGACGTCAGAATTAACAACTAAAAACGCAATTTTACTATATTTGGCCCATGCTTTCACGAATATAATGATATTTGTGTTTAAAATTTAATATCGCGTGGTGTTATATGTATAATGAGCTAGACATTTATAAAGAAATATTAATTATGAAATAAAAAAGGAAATACTGGTTAAGAAAAGGAGTGTCTATCATGCCATCAGTGCAAATTATAAATCCCGAAAATCCTGGGATTATTTGCCACAAATTCCGGGATTAACATTCCTAATATGTACAATGTATATACACTAATGATCGCTTGTATTTTAAAAGTCCAAGTTTCTTCTCTGTTCATACTTACATACACACTCTGCAGTGAAAAATTATCATTTGATAAAATAACCAATTTGTCGTTAGCTTTAATAAATACCTCACTTTTAATTAACTAGAACTAAACCAATTTAAAGTGAGACGTGCAGACGTAATCGGCCGTTTTTTTTTTTTAACCAAGTCTCTATTTAAATAGCTCCATACAAAAATTACTTTGAATACATTTCACCGATAGTTTTTCGAATTCCGGCAAATAAAATGAAGATCGAAATTCCGTAATTTAATTAAAGTTAGATTTAAGCTAACATAAATTCCTGCAGGTTATGTACAAATGTGTGTACATGTGGAAGAGGAATTGCTATATTATTTTATAACTAAATACTTGTTTGCGAAAGCCTGACGAGATACCGTGATGAGTTAAATTTTTCACACTACTCGTTGCAGAGATCATATCTCTCTTCAATCTTCTTCTCACAGTACTCTTATACAAACCTCATTTTTACGTTCATACATACATACATATCTATGTATGTAAAAATGTAAGTCGGTGAGTTTGCAATGTGCACTGAGTCAGAGAGCTTTTGCCGGCAAGCAAATATGTATTTACAAACCCCACTGGAAAACCAAAAAAAAAAAAATTTCAAGCTACGTGCTAGATCGTGCTAAGAAACGAACTAGCCCAACAGAGCCCAACCAGTTCAACAGTAGCGAAATGTACTTTTACTTTGTACTTTTTATTGTTCTTTTTCAAACTACATATTGCTGGTTTAGGGTGAAAAGTTCCTGCCAAGCCCACTTTTTCCAAAAACCTATGTATATTTTGTTGAAAGAAGCATGAACAATTAAAAATGCATCGTTTTCTGAAAATCGAACTACCAATTTTACTTTTAACGGTTTCTATGATATGCGAATCTGCTAAGTCGAAAATATTCACAGAAATTGTCCCAAAGAATAAAATGTTTGTATTAGAAATATATATGTAAGGTGACGAAATTAGAAATGGTGCGAAACTAAAGAAAAAGGGATGGAGGACGTACTATAGTAGATCTCGTCTGATGAACTTAGGACTAGTTTACTTTAAATAGATATTAGTATGACAGTTTTTTCGTTCAAACACGATTTCTTTTTGCACTTCGCAGAAGCTTGTTCATAGTTTGGAAATACAAAACTAAAATTTGTATTAACATTTTAACAACTTAGGGCCGTTTGGAATCTAACCAACAGCGAGCACCTATGCAAACCCAACTACAGCCAAGGGTATGGAAACGTGCATTTCTTACAAACATTTAAACAAATTTCATTTTAAATTGAAAACACATTTCTTTGAAAATAATTTAAAATCGTACACACGGAAGACTCAAAAAGATTGAAAAAATCATGATGCGATTTTCGTCTGTCGCTTTTACAACTGGTTCGGATATATAGTTTTTAGAACTAGTTCGGAACTATCGAAAAAGGGATGCAGCTTGGGGCAATTAAGACTTCCTAGCACATCGCAATGTTAAATTCGACAGTTGCTAGCATGCAGGAGAGAATTAACGCGCCCTAATCATGGTTCTAAAATCTCTAGTAAAGAAGCAGTTCGGCTTTAGTGCGTTTTCCGACAGGGTGACTCTGCACAAACACATTTAAATATAAAACAATGCTGGGGGATAAACGTGTGAATGCACATGCATTAGATATATATAAGTATTTATATATATACATAAATACATATTTCCATTTCAGTTGCCGGTTGGCGTTTATATACATATGTAAATAAAAATGAATCAATTCAAAAGTTTTATTTTTTGAAATTAAGCGGTAGTTATGTTCATATGTTTTATTGCCTTTTCAGCAAAAGCTGGAACTAAATTTTGTTGTAACTTGTTGAAAAAATCTAAAGTGATAAAAGTCTCTTGCCCATAAGATTAAGTTGTTCGCGTTTTCTGGAGAACGAGCAATTTTGAGTTATGATGCTTTATAAGACATTGTGAATATATATTTTAGTATGTACATGATGTATGACTCTGATATGTATCCCGTATTGGCGGTGCGTCAAAAGCTTTATAAAGTGTTCAAATGCCAAAGCCAGTTTAGTTAGTCTTTTGCCCTGCTGTTGTGCAGTTATTACTAAGTGGATTTTTGGAAAGCAAGTGAGTTTATGTAGTGGTTTTCTAATGGATTTCTATCGTGTAAAAAACAAATAAAAAATAAAATAAATGTGTATGTAGTATATAAAATTATAATTGCCAAATTTTTTAGAAAAATCTAGTGCTGACGTTATACTTTTCGTCAGGGCTCTTGTACTTATGTACATGCGGGTACATACATACATATACATATGTATGTACATAGCGAGCGCTAACCGTAAAAAAAAACGTAAGCGAAATTTTTTCAACATTTTTCTTTTTTAAGCAGAAATTTATCTAAAAAGAAAGTC